ATCTGATGATTTTAGAGAGAAGTGAGAGTGTTCTAGAGAGAGGAAGTAGATGAAGTGTCTTGTTCATCAAATTCTTGTCCAAGCCTTGAAATCCAACAAGAAATCCCTCAAGTTCTTCATCAAAGAGGTAAGGTTCTAACCTCTAATCTTCAATTTCGAGTTTGGGTAATGATGGTGATTAAGAGTATGATTCTTGGGTGTAATAGTATTATTTATACGTATCAATAAGGTTTATGGAAAGAGTATTGAGTTCAAATGGGTAAAGATTGGGTTGAAAATGGTAGAAATCTTCAAAGACTTCAATTGAAGATTTGAGGGTCGAGTTGATGTCGGAATTTGGTGAAATTTGTATGGTTGGACTCATGGTTGGATGAGCGTTAATATTTTATAACTTTTGTCGGGTTCCAAGACGTGGGCCCCACGGACATTTTTGAGTGTAATTTCGGATTCTTGGAAAATATTAGTATTTTGATATGGAATTAATTTCTATAATTTTTGTGGGCTGAATCAAATTAATTGTGACTAGATTCAAGCCGTTTGGAAGTTGATACGCGCAGAATGGAATTTCTGGAGCATTTTGGCTTGTTCGAGGTAAGTAACTCTTCTAATCTTGGAGTTGAGGGTATGAACCCTGAATATANAAGAGACTAGAGAGATTGATGACTGAGGGAGGCCGAAGGCCTGATTGTGAGGATATTTTTGGGATCGTGCTGCACGCCGCAGCAGGCCATGTTGGCTTTATATATATTATACTATTGCACGTGAGTTGGCCGTGCGGATCCAGACATTTATATTATGGCACGTGAGTTGTCCGTGCAGCACGTGAGTTGTCCGTGCAGCACGTGAGTTGTCCGTGCTTATAGCGCTTGGGCTGTAGGAGCTCCTCATGAGTCTGACACACCCCCAGTGAGCGCAGTCGACTATAAACAGGAATCGGGCTGCACGCCGCAGCAGGTATTGTATAGCGCTGAGTGATTGAGTGTGCTGAGCACAGTGAGAGAGAATGCGAGACAGTGAGATTGAGTACTCTGAGAGTGTGAGTACAATCTCTGAGATACATTGCATTGACATACACACATGACATATATGCATAGAGATGTGTTTTGCTCATGCTGTACGGTATCACATTATTCATGATTTCTCACACATGTTGACAGATGGGTATAGTGATGCATTTGTTTTACAATGGTTATCTGAAAAGAAAATGAGATAATTTATTTATTATTGAAAGGATTTTGGAAAAATTTCTGTTTTCAAACTTATTCATATTTTTGGTAACTTTGGCGAAAGATTTGGGTTTTCACTGATGTACTTGGAAGGAAGAACTATTATTGCTGAAATCATGATGTGACTGGGCATTTTATCTCTGAGTTACTTATGGTATTATTTGCTTTATGTCGTTATTAACTGTTGTGGATTAGTGGATTTGGACCCGACCTTGGTAGAAGCTCGTCACTACTTTCAACCTAAGGCTAGGTTTGTTACTTACTCAGTACATGAGGTCGGTTGTACTGATACTACACTTCTGCACATTTTTGCAGAAGTTGACTGATGTTGTTGCTGTGCTCGATGGTTGCGAGATTTGAAGATGTACCTGCGTTCCTGTTGTAGCTGCCTCTTGTTCATGGTAGCCTTAAATTTATAAAAGCTCTGTTTATGTACTATTCAAACAGACTATGTATTTATTTCATTTCCGCTTTGTATACTCTATTCTTAGAAGCTCATGATTTGTACTACCAGTTCTTGGGGAATGTATAAGGTTAAGATAATTATTTACTTAAATTTCTTTAATAATTGTTATTGGAATTGGATAGTTGAAAGTTGGCTTACCTAGCGGGTTGGGATAGGTGCCATCACAACTAGTTGGATTTTGGGTCGTGACATTTTTCTTCTTTCACACTAGGAGCAAATCGTTTTTCAACAGAAGTGTACTTTAACATTTAATAAATGAGTGTAAAATTCAAGTGGTAAACACTAACAAGCACTTGGTAATTCTGATGTGTGGCATTTGAACCTTATTAATAGTCCAAAAGTTTTCACTTCTTATTGCATTTCTTTCTATAATCTTACACCTTTGTACTATAATTATAATTGCACTTTGAACTCTATAGTTGTCATTGGGTATTCATAATTTCTCATTCTTAATTGAAGCATAATGTCTACAAATACTCATTGGATGTCTAAACATATACTAAATTACAAATTGATATTGATCTTAAGTAATCAATAGCAGTTTGTTATTTCAAATTGCTATATCTTAGTATGATACTTTAGTTCCATTTCAAAAAATAGTGTAATAGTTCTGTTTATCAGATCTCATGAATTTTTTTCTTCCTTTTTTACCTTTTGCTAACAGTGGCACCCAAAATATTGATGAAGCTTTATCTCTTCAGTTTTCTCAAGGAGGTATATTACAGTGTTCAGGTACCATTTCTAGCTCCAACTTGCTACCTAAAGTAAAATTCGAAAATTTTCAATTATGTTGTGTGCATACTTTACGACAGATTAATCTTGGGAGTTAAAAGAAAAAATAAGTTATGCTTTAGTAATCCAAATGGAAGAGTAATGATGCATTAGCAAAATATCTGTGGATTATTGCTTGTTCTTCTCTTAAATTCTCTATTTGATGTCTGGTATTAGGATATGTTCAAGATCCTTAGTGATAAATAGAAAGATAATTGACGATCAAATCACTTAGGTAAGTGAGGAATTCTACCTTTTGGACTTCCAAGGTATTGGATCCCCGTATGTAAAATCTAGATTGTTTATTTCGTTACTCATATGTTCTTTCGTTATCTTTTGATACGTAAATCTACAGATGCTGGAGTTAAGCAAGTCAATCCGGCAATTAGATTCTATTCCTAGGGTATGACGAATTTGAATCCGTCTTTAAGGCTTGTGCTGAGTTTAGTCAAGAATTATTCAGAGAAGATACGTGAACCTCTTTTTTGAGTGCAAAAAGTTACTTACTGTCGTATTTTCTCACTCCTGAAAAGGTAAGACTAAAAATCTTGGTATTCAGTTATTAATGATGCATAAGCTTTTCAGTTTTCGATCTTCTTTTACGGTAAATAGAGTCAATTACTGGTTGTGGTTGTTTTTTTCCATAAAACTTTTCAGAGTGAAGCTTTTCATATAAAATATGTGTCGTTACACAAGTAATTAGGTTTATGATAAATGGTTGGTTAAAAAATGTTTGCATTTGTTCCCTTTATCTCCCGTGGATGGATCTTGTGGCTTATGATGAATGGTTGTTTTGGATTGGTTGTTCATGTTTGAAGAAAAGTTTGACCTATTGAAAAGTATTAACAAAAGTTTAACTAGAAAGAGTTATTTTTATAGTGTTAAATTTAAGGATGATTCTTACCTTTTCCATGTTAACATCTTTACATGTACCAACAATCTTTTGAAGCGTTACACTGCCTCAAACCTCATGTTTGAATATTACTTTGCATCAATAAAGTGGTAACTTATATGGGAGAAACAAAAGCATAGTTTAATTTGAAGAAAAACACATAATTACAATCATACAGATTCATATTTTCTTTCCTTAAATGCACAGATTTAGAGTGATTGGATATGTGCAGTATCTTGACTTCGAAAAATTGAAAGTTATGCTTGATGAAATACTTGGTTAAATTGAGATATGTACCTTTTATGTGTTAGCTATACAGTAAGCGTTCAACTAACACCATCAATTATTTTTGTATGACTCGATACTCTGCGTAATAACATAATTATGTTTTTTACCTTCAGATGTTGTAATTGGTTGCAAGTTGTGCGTCTAGACTACCTCTTTTGTGTCTAAACTTTTTGCTTCTTTTTCTGCGAGGAGTATACATTTCTTATCCGAATTTTGAAGGTAAAACATTCTCCATCATTCTTCAATAAATTTCTCAGAAATTGACTGATCTTTTGAGATTTGTTCATTTTTCACATATACCATGCGTTCAGGAAATAGTTTGAGAAGTACCTATATCTCAAAGAATGCGACCGTCTTTGCCGTCTCAGTTATTATGTTGAAACACCTTTTAAAAGGTCTAATTGACACAACAAGTCGGGCATATATGTGCACGGGCGCCACCTATCTAGTCATATTATAAGTTAATACAGAGTAAAAGAACAAAGCTGTTGGAAATCGAAGAAGAGAACTAACAACTTCAAGAATTTGGTACTAATTAGTATTTTAATGAGGTTCTTATATTAATTAGTTGGTTCTATTAAGTCAGGTAAATGTTTGAATCACCTACGCACGGTAAGGGCATATATGAGATGACCTATTAACGATAGCCATATCTGCCCAATTTCGCAAAGTTGAAGGGACTATCTGCCCCCTTTTCTGTTTAATTTATAAGATAGGATCTAAGCCAAACTCCCTGTTATCTTAAGGTGGCTTTTTGTTAAAAAATATAAGTAAAAAGTCATTTTTGCTCCATTGTGGGTGTAATTTCTCTCAACTATAATATTTATTCCATCTCCCTATTTCCTAATAGTTAAGTTTACTGGTGAAGTAAGATGAGAACTGAGTGTTTATTCAATACTGGAGATTTATTTTTATCTCAATGATGCATCTCTTTTTGGTAAAAATTTATCTGACATTCGATATTTACACCAAATCATACTACTTTCATTAGTTCATATAATTAAGTGATAAATTAAGGGTAATATATATGATTTGATTGATGTAAATAAATTTTTACCCTCTTTCTTTTTCTTCTTCATCGTTGCCCGTCCGCGATTCCTCTCTCTCCTTCCTCCCCTCAGAAATATAAGGGGGGAAAAAAGGGATTCCGAGGAATTGAAGATGTTAACTTGTACTATGTTCCTTTTTCATGTACTTGCCTTTCTTTTCATCAACAGCTATAACTATACCAAACCCCTCAGGTTTGAAGCTGGATTCTTCTAAAAAGGTTAAACTAGAGGGGGGAAAAAAAGGGGGGGAGGGGGGGGTGAGAATATTACTACAACAACAACAACCCAGTATAGTCTCACTAGTGGGGTCTGGAGAGGGTAGTGTGTACGCAGACCTTACCCCTACCATGAGGTAGAGAGGCTGTTTCCAATAGACCCTTGGCATCCTTCCCTCCAAGAATTCTCCACCTTGCTCTCGGGGATTAGTAAATTTCAAATGAAACGGATAAAATGTCCAAATATACTTTTGTACTATCTGATATTGCTTAATATTTTTGTCCTTCGTTACACTTTGGGTTCATTTATATCTCACAGTTACAAATTACTGGATATTTTTCTTTATTATTAACAGAGTTCCCGCGTGAACTGTAAACGTGTGAACGTACATAAGCAAATTTGACCATTTTGATTAAAAATATACTTCCGTATCATCTAGGCTTGTGGAAAGATACATGTAAACGTGTGAAGTACTTAAATGCAAAGCTTACCACCAAAGTATATGGTGCGGATGGGGCTGCTCCTCCCATAATTAGATATTTCGATTTCGAGCTTTGAGTATAAAAAAATCCTTGCTAGGGAATCAGAGGCGGATCCAGAATTTGAAGGTTGCGGGTGCCACTATACATACATAATATACCTACCACTAGCCACAAAGACCGAATAGGAAGGATA